GCAGGGGCTGCAAAGTTGGGAGCTGGCATTCTGTGCTTCTGAGATTTTCTCGTCCCTGCTTCTTTCTCACTGTCTACTTCATTCTTGATGGCTTCCCCGCTTGGAAGGAAAGGGAGCTGGAGACAGAGCTGATATACAGCATCCCAAAATAGCTGCCTATGGGAAAGACGGTTTCTTCCTTCCAAATATGCCGATTCTCCTAGACCATGCTATCTACATGTGGCCTCGGGCCTGTGTGCCACATGTGGCCCAGTGAAAAATAATCATGCGTAGCCGAGGGAAGGGCTAGGTAGTAGACAAGGTCATGAATAGTTCATAAAATTATCTATTGGTTTAATGCTTTGATTGAGAGTGAATCTTTGGGCTTATCTATGTGCAAGCTAGGAAAAATTGAAAGCTCAAGTCTTTTTAATGCCAGCAAATGTCACAGATGATAGACATGGGTTGCTCTCATAAGCCATGTGATTTAACTAAGTCAAATAGTTTAGTGATGTTGTGATCCTACAGTACTTTCCTCCGGCCATACTTGCTTTAGTTCAGGGCTTGTAGCTTTGACTGGGAAAAACATTTTCTTTCAAATGAATTTCTCTTTTACACACAGTCTTGCTTCCTGTGATAATTCCATGCCATGTATGGTCAAGGCCCAAATTCATCTCCAATCTGGGGTCATCTACCCCATGACTGCAAGAAGCCAGTACATCTTAAGCAATGTATTCGTATTTGCTTTAATATTACTTAAATGTGTATGAAATTATCCATCTGGAAAATTACTCATGTATTACCACAGAAACAAACTGAAGAACTCACCCTTATTTATATGCAAAGGCACATGTCATTTAAACAATCAACCAACATATATCTCCTTATTTACCTTAAACGCCAATGCTTGTTGACTGGGGTACTTGATCACAATGAGTTGACCCACTTTTTAAGTGTATGGCAATGATGTCAAGATTTATCACCTTAAAGAAGCACCAGGTATAAATGATCCAGTGTCTTCATTTCTGAGCTGAGGTTGGATGGTTTGTTTGTGGAGATAATTGTCAGGCAAGTTGTGCTTAATTGTTGCTGGTAACTTCCATAACAGCCTTGGAAAGCATTTTTAGGAGGAGGTAATGATCTTTGGTTTCTTTTTATACCAAATGAATACAAGGCCTTCACTCACACGATTTAATGAGTATTTGGGTCAAAGTTTGAGAGAAAGAGGCTGAACTGAAAGTACAAGGGCCTTGTTAGATTCAGATGGCTATTCATCCTCGGAAGCATTTCCTTTAGGAAGGTGCATTGTCTTCATACTCGATAGCTCCAAGCTCCCACAGAATTAGAGGGGAGAGTTTATTAAAGTTCAATTTAGTTCTTCAGAGGCCTGGGGGTGTAGGAAGATATTGCCGCCCATTCTGTTACTCGTTCTCTATCAACTCTACTTACTTGCCCTCTCTCTCCTCACCCCGAACTACCACTACCAGCTCCCACCAACCCATAATGCTCTTCTGTGAAAGTTAAGGAAAATACAAACTGCCCATCCTTGAAAGACTAATAAAAATCATGTACTGGAAAATTGTCATGAAAATAAAAATTTAAAAGGAAGTAAGATGACATGAGCCCTGTTGGCAGAGTGGTTACGCATTGGGCTGCAATCCACGAGCATTGGGCTGCCATGGTCAGCAGTTTGAAACCACCAACCACTCTGTGGGAGAAAGACGGCTTTCTTCACCACAAAGAGTGACAGTCTCAGAACCTCACCGATGCAGTTCTTCCATTCTGTAGGGTTGCTATGAGTCAGCATCAACTCTATGACTGCGTACTTGGTTTAGGGGAAGATGACAAGAATGATGTGCTAACCTTATCTTCTCCCCTCCCAAACAGATGCTCTGGGGAGTTCTAGCCAGTTCTTCCAGTCTTTCATCCACAAAATCACATGGTTTATTCACTCTTTCTGAAGGCTGAAACCCAGTGAGGAAAAGAAATGGAAATTCAGACCAGGAAGTGTGTATTTTCTCTTTGCAAAGGCAGGTCATTTTTTGATTCTGGAACATCAGTGTTGTTAGTTGCCATTAGTCTGCTTCAACCCACCCCAAAATAAAAAACCAAACAGCCATCGAGTGATTAGTGACTCATAATAACCTCCTATGAGTTTCAAAGACTGTGGGCTTACAAGAGTAGAAATCCCATTTTTTTCTCCCTAGGAGCTGCTAGTGGTTTTGAACTGCCAACCATGTTGATCTCAGCTTAACGCTTAACCACTAAGCCATCAGGGCTGCTGCTTAGTCCCACAGTGACCTGTATGTAACAGAATGGAACCTGGTTGACGTCTACACCATCCTCATAATCGTTGGTACATTTGAGTCTACTGGAGGCAGCACCAACCCATCTCACTGAAGGTCTCAATTTTTTTTTTTGCTGATCTTTCACATAATCAAACATGATTTCCCTCTCCAGTGATTTGTCCTGCCTGATTATACATCCAAATAAGCAATCTCCACTTTCAAAGCACACCCTGGTTGTGATTCCTCCAAGACTTTTTTTAAGCTCCTGATATATTTAATATTCTTCACCAACACCATTGGAATGTTCCCAGTTTGAACCCTTTCCAGTAAGTTATGTAAGGTGCTTGGAAGCCATTTTTGAGGGCTTTAGGAAAGTTCTTCCAAGGTTAAAATAGTTGAAAAAAATTTACGTTTTAAAGCTATTGTAAAGAAAGACAAACGATAGAAATTATTTCACTTCAAAATTGCAGCTGGCATTAGTGTGAATGCCAATATAATTGACATCTGTATAGTAAGTACTTTAAGTCCACCTCACTTTTAGCAAGCAAGGTTGTGACATCTGCATATCTCAGGTTGTTAATAAGCCTTCCTCCGATCCTGATGCTGCACTCTTCTTCACAAAATTAGCTTCTCTGATGATTTGGTCAGCATAGATTGAACAGTGTGGTTAAAGGACACAACCTTGAGGCACACTTTTCCTTATTTTAAACCATGTAGTATTCCCAAGTTCTGTTTGCACAACTACCTCTTGATCCATGTACAAGTTCCAAATGAACACAATGAAGTGTTCCAGAATTCCCGTGTTTCTTAAGGTTATCCACAACTTACTATGGTTCACACATGCCTTTACACAGTCAATGAAATATAAGTAAACGTATTCCTGATATTCTCTGCTTTGAGACAAGATCCATCTGACGTCAGTGATGATTTTCCTTTGCTCCATGTCCTCTTCTGAGTGCAGCCTGAATTTCTGGCACTTCCCTAGTAATTTACTGCTGAAACTGTTGTTGGATGATCTGTAGAAAAGAATTTTCTTTGGTGTGATATCAATGATAGTGTTCTATAGTTTTGAGCATACTGTTGGATCATCTCTCTTTTGAATGGGAACAAATATGGATTTCTTCCAGTCAGTTGACCAAGCAGCTGTCTTCCAAAATTCCTGGCGTAGACAAGTGAGTGCTTGCAGGGCTTCTTCAGCTTGCTAAAACATTACAATGGGTATTTCATCAATTCCTGGAGGGTTTTTTTTCTTTGCTAACGCAATCGGTGAAGTTTGAACTTCTTCCTTCAGTGCCACTGGATCTTGCTCATATGCTATTCCCTGAAATGGTGGGCTGTTGACCAGCTCTTTTGGGTACAGTGACTCTGTGTATTCTTTCCATCTTCTCTTCATTCTTCTTACAGCATCCAATATTTTGCCTGCAGAAATCTTTCAAGACTGCAATTCTTTCATTTTCTTGAGTTCTTTCAGTTTGCTAAGCATGTTCTTCCCTTTTGGTTTTCTAATTCTAGGTCCTTGTACATTCTGTTATAATAGTTGGCTTTGTCTTCTAGAGCTGCCCATTGAAATTTTATGTTCAGCTCCTTAACTTCATCCTTTCTTCCATTTGCTAATTTAGTTACTCTATGCTTAAGAGCGAGTTTCAGAGTCTCTTCTGACGTCTACTCTGATCTTTTCTTTCTTTGCTGTCTTTTCACTATCTTCATGAATGATGGTCTTGATGGACTCTCACAGCTCATCGGATCTTGCCATTAGTGTCGTTAACAATTTCCGTAGTTGCCAGTAAATACCAGAGAACATTCACACATCAATAAATATCCATAGTAGCACAGTTTCTATGATGGTACTCTTTCAGAATGGATTTACTTTCAGTGAGTCCAAGATTATTGTGTTTCTTACAAGTGCACGGAGCATCTTCCACATGAAGGGTTTATATACTCTGATCCTTAATCCTCACCCCCTCACAACTCATTAGAATTCATGAATTTAGCAAGGCACTTTACTACAGAAAGGTCTTAAGGGTATAGTTTCCCAGTTTGGCTTGTACAACCTACTCTTGTACAGTGAGGGGACCTGGCAGAGTACGTTGCTCTCAAATGAATAAGATTCAATTAGAGCTTAACAGACTTGAGGAGGTACACTGGTCATTTGGGGGTAACTTTTGATGTCCCTTTGAGAAAAAATGAATATAAACGTCTTATAGAATGTACATGTCTATAGCAGTATAAGGAAGCTTGATAATGCAAGCAGTTTGTGATCAGAGACTAAATTAAAATTGGGTACTTTAAACCTAGTCAGTGAGCTCATGAAAGAAAGGCCTGGCTGTCTGCATCTGTAAAGTTTGTAGTTCCGAAAACCTTGACGAGTTCCCATGGATCGGAATGACTTGAAGGCAGGAGCTGTACCAGTTATCTTGCCCAAGGGACAGTATCCAGCTCGTGCTATCGCCTCGAGTGACCACAGACCCGGAAGCAGAATCGAGAGAGAGTTCACTATCATTCATAACCTCAGAATTTGCCCATAATATCACCAGCAGAGGTACATCTGTGTAAAATATGAGGTGCTCTCACCAGTGTCTGCTCGCAATCAGTGTTTTGATTTGCTTCTGGTATCTGACCCAGGTAATCCCAGCCTCTGAAAACAATTACTGCTTGACTGCCACCTTAAACCTTTGGCCCATTTCCTCTAACTAAATACTATGTACTTGATATCACAGATAAAGGAAGAGAAGATTAAAATTGAAATTACAAAGTATTTTTTTAAAAACCCAAGGGAAGAAGATACACATTGGAGTATGGCTCAGCAGAGGATCTCCGCAGGCACCGTCAGGACCAGAAAGAATTCTCACTCCTCAGGGCTTAGGTCCAGAAAATTCTTCTTTTGGGAGATTCTCCCAAAGTCCATGGTCCCTAATCTTCAGCATCCTTGTTCCTCTTTTAATGCATTTGGAATTCAGATATAAAGGGTTCTCACCACACAGAAGACATATGTAAAAATACAAAAATAATTGCTTTGTTTCGAAGGTATCATAAATAGCTGGGGTGGCAGTTATATTAAATAGGACTGATGAAGAAGATGTGATGTTACAGCTTATTCTCTTCAAAGAGGATCTGGGCATAGACTGTGCTGGTTGGAACACCCTTGGTTTTCTTGTGAGGTTTAATCAGTTCCAGCTCTGCATAGGTCAAGCTTTCCTCGGCAATCTTTGGCTACAAGACAAAACACAACAGAATTAGAGCTGACCATAGGAGTTCATTCATTTATCAATTTCCATTCATTTATCAAATATAGATTTCCCCAGCATTTTAGGACTCAAAAGGAAACAAATGCACAAAAAATTAAAGGATATAAACCAAGAAGTATTGCCATTGAGTTAATTCTGATCCATGGTAACCTTATAGGACAGAGTAGAATGGCCTCACAGGATTTCCGAAGCTATAATCTTTATGAAAGCAGACTGTACCTCTTTCTCCTTTAGAGTGACTGGTGGGTTCAAACCACTGACCTATCAGTTAGCAGCCGAGCGCTTCAACCACTGTACTGTTAGAGATGCTTTGTAGGACATATACAACTTAAATAAAAACTTTGTTGTTGGTTATTGTATTTTCTTTTTTTAAAACTTTATTATTAATTGGGAGTTAATATCATATCATTCCATAGTTCAATCACATCAAGCAAAATTGTATAATTGTTACCACAATCCGTTTGCAAACATTCTTTTTTCTTCCTAGACTCCTTGGCATCACCTCCCTTTTACCACCACCCCCTCCCCCACTGGAATAATCTTATTCTACTTGCTGTCCCTATAGGCCCATCAATCCTGGGCTTTATACACCGAAACACAGTAAACCATGTAACACAACTTCAAGAGGGTGATCTCCAATGACATAACACCTCTGAGATACATCCTAATACAAATGAACAAACAAACAAACAAAAACAAAACAAAACAAAAATACAGAAAATGTTGAAAACCAAATCAGGACCAGCATGCATCAGAGGGGGGATCAACAGGCAAGGTTTGAACTGTTCAAGTCAGGTTTATGCCTTTGATCTTCTATACACCTCTCTCCAATCCACTCTACAACCAATGACTTTTTAAAGTTAATAATGAAAACTAGAAAAACTAAAAGTCTTTACTACTTACAGTATTTTTTGATGGCAGCAGAATGTGTAACTGCTATGCTACTGGGGATTTTTACTACTTACAGTATTTTTAATGATTTAACATATGAAGTAAAAGTTTCAGACTATTTTGAAAATAATGATAGAGGAAATATTACTTACTAGAACCTAAATAGTATTGCTAAATCAATGCTCACAGAAAAATTCAGTAACATTGTGTGTTTATATTAAGGACATTTGGTAGAACAGGGCTTAAATACTCGGCTGCTAACTAAAAATGTGGCGGTTCAAAATCTACTCACTGGCCCTATGTGAGAAAGATCAATGTATTCTCATAAAGATTACAGCCTAGAAAACAACATCCTACTGTTCTGTTCTATCACGTGGGGTCAACAAGAGTTGGAATGAACAAAATAGTGCCTAACAACAACACAACTCACTGCCATCAAGTCCACTCCAATGCCCAGCAACCCTGTGTGCACTGTAGCACCTTGTGCTTTTGGAGACTGTAAATCATTGTAGGAGTTGACACCCTCATCTTTCTACCTTGGAGAGGTTCATGGGCTTGAGTGGCTGAGCTGAATGAAGCAGCCCGATGCTTAGCCCACTGGGCTGCCAGAACTCCTTTAACAAGTACTCATATTAAACAATGTAAACGAAATGGATTAAGTATTTAATTCAAGATGTTAGAAAACGAACACCAGATCAAATTAAAGAAAAGCAGCAGGAAAAAACCAATAGAAATAAAACCAGATTGCATAAATAAATAAAACACTAAAGTAAAATTTTATTTAAAAAAAATCTAAAAGCTGGTGCTTAGAAAAGCACCAATAAAATAAACTGATCACAAGAGAGAAAAAAAAAAAAGAGCAATATTAGAAATGGGCATAAACGTTAATGAGGGAAACTTAAATATTTAAAAGGTTTACTTTGCTCAGTTTATTTGGAAAACAATTGAAATATAGGGTTAAATAGATAACATTCTAGAAAAATATTAAATTTAAATATAACCACAGAAAAAATAAATGTACAAGTTGCCAAACTTAAAAAGAGAGATTGCTAGTACAAACTGATATTGTTGTGGCAGTGTTTATTGATCTAATAAAATGCTGGAAGCACGCTGATGGACATCAATAAAAGGCAGATCATCCATACACTAGAACAGACAGCATAGTCTTTCACAAGAATGACTGCACTATAAGTGTATAACACATTTTACTGTCATTTGTACAAATATATGCATATGTTTAATATTTTTGGAAGCCCTTGGAAAGAGACAGGAGAAACTGAGAAACAAAGATCTTTCTAGACAAGGCGCCTGGACTAGATGGCTAGGAGCAGGAATAATAGTGAGAGTTATTCTTTATTGTATGTATGTATCTTTGGGTTTTTTTTTTTAATTCTGTAGTAGGCACACATGTATTTGAAAAAGCATCGATTTTTAATTAATAATATAAAACGATGAATTGGCCATTAATTTATAGTCATAACAACACAACTTTCATTAGCAGATTGGCTCTCTATATAAACTGGAATTTTTTTCTTGAATTTGGTTTCTATTTTGGTTTTGTAGTTGTTTCCTTTTGACTTTGCTTTTTTTTTTTTCCTAATAAATCATTTTCCCACCACCTGTCTGTCAGTTTGCCATACAGTGGTGGCTTGCATGTTTCTCTTCTGCTGAAAGCTATGCCACTGGTATTTCACACACCAGCACCATCACTCACGGGGAGGGGGGGGCGGGTAGGTTTCAGCAGCGCTTTCACACTGAAACACACTAGAGAGAAAGCCTGATGATTTAGGTTTGAAAAATCAGCCAATGAAAGCCCTAGGATCACAACAGAACATTACAGGTATGGACAGTGCTGGACATTGAAAGGCACTCACAATACAAAGTGGCCACAACAATGGGCTAGCTCATACCAATATTGTGAACACAGTGCAGGATCAGAGAACATTCTGTTTTGTTATGAGATCTCCGAGAGTCAGAGTCAACTAACTAGCAACTAACAACACAGTCATTTGAATTTAATTAGGCTTCCTACAAAAGAGGATCAAGAGCAAGCAAACCTATTTATTTATTTGTTTGTTTTTTAAATTACCTAGAAATAGGCGCAAGGAGCAGGAGCTAGGGAGACAGGAGATAGTGAAAGTGTATAATGAACTCCTAAAAGACAGGCTGCCAGGTGATCTCCAAAAACAGCTACCCTTTGCTAAATGCCCAAGTTAAAGAAATTCACAGGTCTGAGAAATTTCTGCTTGTATTTTGACACCAGAAGTCTTTATATCTCATATCTTACCAGTCACAAAAACGGTTTATAGCCTGCCTCTCAGCTTAATTACATTTCACATCATAATGATTCCATTTAGAAATGCCATGTGTCTGCAATAAGCACGCAAAACCCAACTCATGTAAGTTTAAGAACCAAGATCTGTGAAATCATATTGTCCAGGTGTTTTATTACATTACCTTGAAATTGCATTGTTTTCTAGTGTAGGTTATCTGTTTATTCTTAAGTTATACCATTATACTAGGATATGAAAAATAATAGTAGGTTTCTCAATATAAGTTACCAAACTGGCCGGGCTGATGTGTTGTTTTCATACATTTTTATGATGTTCCTATAGTAAACATAATTTAATAAAGTCAAAGCATACTAAATAAATAATTGCATCTAGAAAAGCAATAAAAACAAATAAAATTAGTACTTTCATAAGTGGAAAAGGTACTTCAATTACTGCTATAAGCAACAGCCCACCATAAAATGTGTAGAATCATTTCCCTTATGCATATTTCTGGAATATAATAATTTGATTGAATATATGAGGCAGAACACAGGAGGCTCAAAATTGTGAAGTGTATAGTTTCCAACAGAAGATGCATAATATCAGCCTTTGGAAACTTTAAAGAATCTATTGTTTTCCTGTGTACACACTTGGATAGAGCCTTTATCCACGTGTTTAATTACCTTCCCCTAGCTTGTTTAACTGGAAATAATTTCCCAAAAGCCCATGAAAAGGGGCAAATGTATAACTATCACCAGTTTTCACCAATCTACCTTTCTTTGCACTGAGATTTTAGTGGAAGACTTAGGTGCATCTGAGAACTGGTTTAAAAACAAAGCAAAAACCAAACAAGCTAACTGTTGGCATATCAAATGGGCAAGGCAAGATTGCAGGACTGGTGCTGAAACCAGAAGCCAAGAAGTAACGGATTAGAGCAGGTGACTATAATGGGGCAGAACTAGGTGGAGGGATCCGCTGCCGGACCTCACTTATGTTTGCACTGCAATCTTGACAGTACAAACCCAACCCAAACTTCAGTTAAGGAATCACCCCTGGCATTGGTGGCAATTCAATAATAGGAAGACAGAAAGTGGCTTTCTGAAACCGATGTAGAGAGAGTCCTTCTGTTTTCCTTCTCGTTCTGCAGTCTCTGGCACTCAGAATGACCTGGTTTAAGTCCCCAAACTAATCTCTTGGTGGTGCAGGAAGCGCCAAAGGACACAGGTGCATTTGCATTCAAAATACAGATTTAAATAATCTTGAACTGGTTGTTGACCAACACTCCTGAGACAACTTTAGACTTCACTAAAAACAGAAATGAAAGTATAGTTTCCAGGCTTCATGGCTGAATCTTTACTCTTATGTTAGGAAGCTGTTGTGCTCACAGTAAACAGAAGGGGAAAGAAAAGGCAGAAGACGCAGACCAACTGCTTGAAGTCCCACATTTTCCAAATATCTGAGAAGCAACCCCGCCATTTCCTGTCATAGAACTGTGAGTGTTCACGCCATTTGCCTTCTCAGCCAGTTTGCAGAGATTTCAGGTCAATATTTCACTGTATTCCCCAAACAAAGGCTTGATCTTTGTGTTCAGAAAGCATTGGTTAGCCAGTATTAGACTTACAAAAGGGATACCAGGCTCTGATTCCCAGCCAATGCACTTCTTATGCAGCCATCCCTGGAGATGTGTAGGTTGCGATGATGAGGAAAAGGCTTTAGTGCGTATTCCAGACTAAACAAGCTAAGAAGGAAAGTCTGGCTATCTTTCCTTCCCCCCAAATCAGTCAATGAAAACCCTCTGGAT